ATGCCCTTGGGCTGGGGGGGGGGGTTAGTGGTTTACCACACACTGCCTTGGTACTGAGTCAGGGGCTAATGCATGTCACACGGCCACCGACTGAATCTGCACCCCAGCCTGTGGGGTGTTCCATTGCTTATCCCTCTTCCTGAAGAGGAAACTGAGGCCTGCCTGTTAGGTCCCCTGCCCGGCCATCGCTCTCAGTAACGATGGGCCAGGCGTTCCGGGCCGGCCAGACTCCAGAGCCCAGGGCCTGCTCGCCAGAGATGGCAGCCCCACGCCCTCTTTCCCACAGACCGTGTCGACGGTGCCACCTTTAGTCACGGGTGGGGTTGGGGACGTGCCAGGGAGATCGGGTAATGCCATTTCTGTACTGGGACAAAACCTGAGCTGTGTAAATGGGTTGGCAGCGTGCATTTTAGTAAGTGTGTAATTGATTTGTGTCCTTTGCCGCTCCCTCTCTCTCTCCTGCCTCTTCCCCCTTCTATTCTGCGTCCCTTTCAAGACCCTCCTTCCCAGCTGCCTGCTCCTCAGAACCCGACGATTCACCTGTACAACGCCAAGCAGGCTCTGAGCTGGGAGCCGGTGTCCCTGAGCAACGAGACAGGGCCAGTGGTGTACCGGGTGCAATTCAAATTGTAAGCCGATGTTTCTGTGGGTCCTTCCCGGGAGCTGTGGGGGGCTTGTGGATCCCCAGGCCAGTTGCCTGTTGCTGCCCCTTGGCAGGATTGTAAGCAAATCCATGGGAAGCACACCTTTCTCTTGTACTTTAAAACCTCCAAGGACAAGCCCAGCCGGTGTTGCTCAGTGGTTGAGCGTCAACCTATGAAACAGGAGGTCACGGTTCCATTCCTGGTCGGGGCACATGCCCGGGTTGCCGGCTCGATCCCCAGTAGGGGGGTGCAGGAGGCAGCCGATCAATGATTCATCGTTGATGTTTCTCTCTCTCTCCCGCTCTCCCTTCCTCTGTCTCTGAAATCAGTAAAAACATATTACAAAAAAATCTCCCTGGACAGAGATTTCACAACCTCCCGCTTATCACTCATCAGAGAGCTCCGCTGTCTGACCACACAGCTTCTCAGTTCGGTGGAAACTGATGTTCTCCTGCTAAGGGTAACATGCTAAGTGAAAGGAGCTGATCACAAGGGATCACACAGTTATGATCCCGTTTAATATGAACTGTCCAGAATAAGCAAATCCATAGAGATAAAAAGTAGGTTAGTGGTTGCGTAGGCCTTGGGGGGTCGGAGAGAACAGGGAGGGACTGCCAGTGGGTGCAGGCGTGTTTGGGGGAATGGTGAAAATGTCCTAAGACTGATTGTGGCAGTGGTTGTATAGCCCTGTGGGATACACTGAAAGCCACTGAATCCTGCGTTTTAAATGGGTGGGTTATGTGGTGTGTGAATTATATCTGAATACAGCTGCTTTTAAAAAATCAGCTCTGAAGAAACTGCTGTATACCATGGACTAGAAAATTCTGGGCAGTGAAATCCTCTCTTTCATTCTAGCCCCGAAAGCAAGTGGTCTGACATCGATGGGAGTCCCACCAAGCCCGTCGAGGTGAACTGTTCGAAGATCACCAAGACAGAGTGTAACTTCACCCCGACCAGCCGCTCCAAGGGCTTCCTGCCCTATTTCAACATCTCTCTACGTGTGCGAGCCGAGCTGCAGGACCGCACCTCCCCCTGGGCCCTGGTGCCTTGGTTCCAGCACTATCGGAACGGTAAGAGCTGGGGTGCAGAACGGCCCGCGTCGTCCCCAGGTCCCCTTTGCTTCCCTCTTCACCCAGCTGTACTGGCTCCGTGTGCCTGGGTCCTGCCTCTCACCCTAAGTAACCAGCAAAGAGGTGGGCTCGGAGGTCAAACCCAGGTATTGGCTGCGGACGCTGGTGCTCGGGGCGTGAAATTCGCTTAGACCCGGGGCTGGGAAACTACAGCCTGCAGGCCAAGTCCGGCCTGTTCTCGTAACAAGGCTTTATGGGAACGTAGCCACGCCGTCTCCTAACGCATTGTCTGCGGTTGCTCTCGGGCCGCCACCTAAGTGGTTGCACCAGGGACCATGCAGCCTGCAAAGCCTGCATTTGCTCAAAAGTTTGCTGACTCCGTGCTGGGCGGACGCCAGCATGTTGGCTGCGCTCATCGCCCTTCCCTGTGTTGGCACAACTTCTTTTATGTTCTGGAAAGACTTTAATTCCGCCCCGAACAGTGCCGGCCACATAGTAGATACTCGGTGAATATTTGTTGAGTGACTGAATGAAACGCGTGCTCCCAGAAACTGAAAGGGGCCCACGAATCGTCAGATCCCAGCTTGTATGTGTGTTCCGTCAAGGATTTTATTTTATTTTTTAATCTTCACCCAAGAATATTTTTCAGTTGCTTTTTCAGAGAGAGAGGAAGAGGGAAACATCCATGTGAGAGACACATCGATTGGTCGCCTCCCGCACGCACCCTGATGGGGGCCGGGGATCGAGCCTGCACCCCGAAGTACATGCCCCCTGAAGGGTATGAACCCCAGGACCCTTCAGTCCAAGGGCCGACGCTCTAACCACTGAGCCAAGCCAGCTAGGGCTGTTTATGTTTTTTAAAGGGGGTGCTATCGTTTAGAGATCCCTACTGGCGTGTTTACAGATACGATGATGTAATAGCTGAGATTCAAGCGAAATTATCCAGAGAGTGGGCGGGGCCGGGGCAAGGTGGATGGTGGGGGCAGGAGGAACACACTCCCCACGACACGATGGTGAATTTGAAGTTGGGTGACCAGTTGTGAGCCTTTGTTGCGATCCTCTCTGCTTTCTGTGTCCGAAATTTCCTGTAATCGAAGCTGAGAAAATCGTGGTGCGCGGAGGTGACGCAGACACAGAAACAGCAGACGCGCAGTCCCTGCAGGCCAGTTGATGCTATGGACAAGTCTTTTGTTCCCGAGTGGAAAGCCGTCACCCTGCGAGCAATAAAGTGTCACCCAAGTGAGAATTAGTTTAAAAGAAAAGCAGCCATGGTGGTTACCGACCGCTGCCCGGAAGAAAGCGGAGGCAACAGAAGCAGGACCTGTCGTGAGAGTTGTTGGTCCCGTGTCAGCGGCTTGTCCTCCAGCCTGAGCTGGGCAGCAGTGGTCTTGGTTAGTGGCTGGCGGTCTGTCACGCCTGCCCCTTCACGTGGTATTGCCCGACCCCGTCGCCGCTGTCTCCGCTCACGGCGGAGTTGGGATGAGTGACCAGTTGGGATGGTTCACCCAGCGCTTGAGGACGTGAGGACCTGGCGTCACGCAGACCTGGGTCCAGATCCCACCTCTGCCACTTGCAGGCTGTTACGCTGGGCTTCGGTTCCCTCTTCTGGGACGTGGGGGGGCCACCTCCTGTTGCTCCCTCTGTGTGGACACACAGAAGTCCGTTGCCGCCTGGTTTGTAGAGGTCATTCAGGACACGGGAGCTGCTGTCCACGGTCAGTGCCCCCGAGTCGTCAGTGCGCTGAGAGAAGGCAGGTTGTCCCTCGAGAGATGAGCTCGTCAGGTCGGTACAGATTCCGGACCCGGGGCTCCCTGCAGAAAGACAGGTTTTGGGGGCTGACATTGCAGCGACTAAGTGCTTAGTCACAGCTGGCTTCCGTGCCCCACGCCACTCCTGAGGGTAAGTCACAGGAAAGCCTAGAGACTATGCCCTGGGGCGGTGGCCCTGGGGCTGGGCCCTGTGGGTCACAGGCTCCCCAGGCTCCAGCCACTTCACTGTGAAAAGGGGAACTTGGGAGTGTGTGTGGTAGGGTCCCTGAAAGAGTTCTTTGTCACTCGTGGCCAATCCTCTCACGTCCTCTGGCTGGCGGCGGGCCAGCCTCTGCCCGGTCTCCGTCTGGATCAGTTCCTCCAACAGAACAGACGAGCTCCAGGGCACAGGCGTCCAGGAGAGGGGCGAGACCGTACGCCAGACCTGGCCTGGGGGAGACGTGGAATCAGGCCACGGCCACGAGCCCAGAGCCGCTCCCAGGCTGTGGCCGTGCGCCCGGGTGACGTCTGCGGCTGCCAGCTCGGAGGGCCCAGCCTGCACCGTGGCCCGGGCTCCCCGCGTCACTGTAGCGTAAATGCCTGCTTGATGACGCAGCGCCGCTCACTGTAGCTGCGTGAGTCACGGCTCTCGCTGGCCTGTGGACGCATGGAAAGCCTTCACAGGTAGACTTCTGGTGGCAGCATTTCTCGGGTGTGACAGTTCAGTACCGTAGACAGTAAGCTGGGAGACGGATGGTTTGGAAGGGTTGTGAACACCGCTTTTTGTTCATTTACATAGAAATATGACAAAATACAAGGTGTCCCAAAAAATGTGTAGACACGCCTTAAATAATTATAAAGGCAGCGCTTATTAAAATACATTTCATTTTCACAATTGAGCTATCAGCTGTTAAAGTGTGTATACATTTTTGGGGGACACCCTGTGTATAGTAGGTAAGGCCTAACGAGATCTTTTCCCCTCACATGAAAGTGTGACATTTGGTTGACCTTCCTGTGTGTCTCTCGAACCCGGCAGCCTGTCAGCTGGAAAACCGGGCGGCATTGCCGACGGCCAGCATGGCCCCCGGCTGGGACACTGCCTTCCAGCTGGGATGGCCGGCCGTCCTGGTTGGAAGCCGTGTCTCTGGGCTCTGCTGAGTGCAGGGGCTCTCGTCACTGGCCGTGTCCCTGTGGGGCTCTGGAAGTGTCCTTGTGGAGTGATAAGAGGTCCTGGCTCTTGTGGCTTTTAAGCCAAGGAGGCTCCTGTACCTGCCTGACATGGGTCTTCTCCTCTTGCATCTGAGCTGCCTCCTGGGGGCCCAGAGAGGCTTTGTCTGGGCTGCTATGTAGACGGTGCGGGGCCCCCTCCCTCCAGTGAAGGCAGAAGTCCCTGTGCCACATGGTGGCCCCAATGGGCTGCCCGCCCTGTGGCCTCACAGTCAGCCTCGTGCCGGAGCAGCCTCTCGGGGCCTCGTGTGCCCGAATGCGGCCGCACTGCATGGGAAATGTGTATTTGCGCATACAGGCCATATGCGTAACAGACGTTTTCTGTATATTCACGTCATATATAATACGCTGTAACAGGTGTATATATACCGTATATGTGTGTGTGTGTATATATTTACATAGTTTTGTTTTTATTTGTGATTGCATTTCAGTGACCATCGGGCCTCCAGAAAACATCTGGGTGACGCCAGAGGAAGGCTCCTTGATCATCCAGTTGTCCGCTCCCTTTGACGTCCTGTCCTCCGAGGCCACGTTTTTGTATTATGTCTATTACTGGGAAAAGGCAGGGGAGCAACAGGCAAGAGCATTTTTTTTTTTTTAATGTTGATTTTCTTTTCTTGGAGTTTCTGATACAACTTTAAAATGGCCCTGGCCAGCATTGCTCAGTGGTTAGAGCATCCGCCTCAGCACCAAAGGGTCTCGGGTTCGATTCCCGGTCAAGGGCATGCACCCCGGTTGCAGGTTCAGTCCCCAGGCCCCTGGTCGGGATGCGTGCAGGAGGCAGCCAGTCGATGATGTTTTCGATGATGTCTCTCTCTCATCGACGTTTCTATCTGTTCCTCTCCCCCTCTCTCTAAAAATCAATGAAAACATATTAAAAGAGGAGAGAGGGAAGCAGCTTGTCTGTCTATTGGGGTCATTTACATGGGACGGTCGGTGTTTTTTCCATAGGTCAGAGGTCCCTTCAGGAGCAACTTCATTGTGTTGAAGGATCTGAAGCCCCTGAAAGTGTACTGTTTACAAGTCCAGGCACAGCTGTCCTGGACGTTATTACCGGTCCTTAGATCCGGGCATTTAAGCAACATTTCTTGTCACGAAACAACAGCAGATGGTAAGATGTGCCTTCCTGTGCCCTTTTGGAGCTGGGAAAAGAGTGCTCCTGAGACAGGGAAACCGGGGAGCATGTGTTAGGTGAAGGGTGCTGGGAGGGGGAGACCCGGCGGGGAGGCGTGAGAAGGGCGCGCGTGCTGACGCCCAGCAGCCAGCGCTCCCTCGTTTCGGGGACGCCTCACTCGCTACCGACCGGGCAC